CTGCATCAAGGCACTCCACTTGCAAAGTTCTTGAATTCTGCTGCGTGAGGGCCCTGCAAGATGATCGTCTCACAGTTTCCGCAAGGATCATAGTCTTGGTACCAGCCTCACATGTTTCAGTGGCTCGCATGGTGAGTGTTCAGATCGCTTCTGGAGCCCAGATCCATGGTTTTTTGGCACCACCCGAGTCAAGGAATTTCCGACGATTTGAGGCGATGTTTTTGGGTCGGGAGAGACCGGCAAAACACCCCTTGTGGGGTCGTCGGTCGGACGTCCAAGTGGCTCTTCTTCGTAAAGACCGTGGTGAGTGGGTCATAGACTCCACCTCAACATCCGTCAACGGCCCGTCGTGGAAGGACGTGGGGCGAAGTCAGTGTTGTCGTAAAACAGTTTTAGGATGTTTTAGGGCTGTTCTCAGTTCTCAGTTCTCTTCTCTTCTCTCTCTCTCTCTATGTCTTATGTCTGGTTTGAATGGCGTTCTGCAGATTGGGTCAGAGCTGCACCAAGTGGCCAAAGTTTCTCATCCGGTGCACGAGGACCACCTCTGAATCCTGCCATCCCACGGCACCCGGACGTCCCATTCCACACCGAAGATCACCCCCCAACGGCTTCCGAAGATCGAAGTGAAAGATCACCCGACACAGCGATATGAAAGAACCTCGTTCTTCGCGAACCTCGCCCCTGGCGCTAAAGAAGAAATTGCAAGAAAGAAAGGTAGTCTAAAGAAGAAGGCGTGTTAAGGGCGTGCGGCGCTCTGCAGGTGGAACCGTCTTCAGAGCCATTTCGGCGGTCTCATCTCCACGCAAAACGCACACCATGCCACACCCCCTAGCCTTCCAAACACCAAATCAATTTCAATGTGGGTGTGCCAACTCCGATGTTTTTACAAAACCAGATCAATAATCATGTTTGGGTTTAGTCGGTTTAGCATGTCAACGGTCTTGGAAGGCACCATCGACATCTGATGAAACATGACGAAACCCTTTTGAGACGATCGGAGGTCCCTCCTCTTTGTCTTCGGCTGCGAAGCTGAACATGTGGATGCTGGAGATGGGCCAAAGAAGGATGCCCAAGACCTCAAGCTGAGGGCGGCGGCCATTCTGGACTACGCCAAGGGCAGGCACTTCACGAATGGATTTGATTGGCCTTGACACGGAATCTACACAATTGATGCCATTTTTCCTTTGGACCTTGAGATTAAAGCCATAGACCGACATAGGGCCCTTGATTCATCCTGATTCCCTCTGTGGTGGCAAAAAGGCCGTAATGGGATCCACTGGGAATCGGCTTTTCAAGTAGTCCATCTAAATACGTTGTCTATACACATAGTGACACCGTGGGCTCGAGTATTCCTTTGTTTCCGGGGGGGCAACAAAGAACGAACAGGATCATATCTGTGACTCGTGTGCCACGCTGGTTGCCGAGTTGCAATGAAGGTGCAAAGATACCTCACCAGAGTTGGTCGCAAAATCGTTGAAAATCCATCGGGTTCTCTGCGGCAACAAGAAAGCTACTAGGAACAAGCGCATCGCTTCGTTCGTAGCAAGTGCCTTACTAGTAGTACCAAGAAGC